ATGTTCTCACTCATCTTTTGTTCACTTACATTCATAGTAAAAACTATTAAAAAATAAAAGGGAGTGTAAGTGGATAAAAGGGGAATGAGAAAATCACCACCCTATATATATATGTGTTAATTTACTAATACTAATTGATGTTGGCAATAATGCAACCGATGACGTCGGTGGTGTTTTCATTGAGGTTGTTAATAATAAATGTCACTGCAAAACTATCTTTAATTTCTTTTGACATAGACGCCAATGAAGGAAGTTGAGGTTCCACCCCAAAACCAATTGGCAATGGGGGGAGTAGCCCAACTCCTTATAAACTCAGGCTTGGTCCCTTAACTTTTCAATGTGGGACAAATACTCTCAACACGCCCCCGCACGTGTGGCAAACTTTCAAGCCTAACACGTGGACAACACAAATTGGGTGATGTGGGAGCACGTGTGGCCGTTGGGCCCAACACGTGAAGCCTTGCTCTGATACCATGAAGGAAGTTGAGGTTCCACCCCAAAACTAATTGGCAATGGGGGGAGTAACCCAACTCCTTATAAGGCACTGCTAGGTTTCTCAACTTTCCAATGTGGGACTCTTTACCTTCACAGTCTCACACGCCCCCGCACGTGTGGCGAATTTTCAAGCCTAGTACGTGGACAACACATATTGGGTGACGTGGAGCACGTGTGGCCGTTGGGCTTTCACACGTGGGCTAACCTGCTCTGATACCATGAAGGAAGTTGAGGTTCCATCCCAAAACCAATTGGCAATGGGGGGAGTAGCCCAACTCCTTATAAACCCAGGCTTGGTCCCTTAACTTTTCAACGTGGGACAAATACTCTCAATAGCCAAGAGCATCTCCAACAGCAATATATATATTAGGGTTTATTTACTAGTACTAATTGACGTTAGCAATAATGCAACCGATGACGTCGGTGGTGTTTTCATTGAGGTTGTTAATAATACATGTCACTGCAGAACCATCTTTAATTTATTTCGATATATGTACGCTTAATATAACATTGTAGTCTGTACACCCATCTTCATATGGGTTTAAGTTCAATCTCCAGAACATGTGAAAAATGTCTAATGAACTCGAGAGGTCCTTGTTAATTAAAGATTTGAAGGGTGACTTTTGATCAATTATGCCTGCTTGCTGGGTCAGTCTGGCCAGTGTCATATTTGATTGTAACATGTCAATATCAAGCACATAAGCACTTATTAAAGATAAGATTAATTACCCAATAAACCAAAAGACTAGATTAAATGTATTAGTCAGATTACTTGTTGGACTTAACGCTGGTTATCAGTTTTTCATACACAGTTATGGTTTCAGTAACCAAGGAATACTACTTTTTTTTTTCTTTTCTTATATTTGATTTGTATAGGAATGGAAACAAATTTTGTTTAGTTTTTCAATTATACCCTAGTTAGAAATATGAAATAAATAAAATAAAAAAGAATAGCGACAGTCTTTATTGTATGACAAAATTGTAAATCTAAATCGTTATTAGGGACAAATTAGTCATGGAAAAAGCAAATTTAATGTTGATGTTGGTTTCCCATGAGTGTGGAAAATGAAACTGTTAGTCCTTTTTTCCGGGATGTATTCTTTCTGCCTACTGTCGCTGTAGGTATGCTCGGAAGAACACAGGAACTGTTGGACCTACACCAATGCCCCGATTGTATCTTTTGCCCCACGCAGATGTTACTTCAAAAATTCGACAAAATTGAAAGTTGAATCAGGTTGATAAGAAATCCAGTCTAGCCCTATCTTTGGGCCTAACCTCTGAAATTCTTCTGATTCGTGGGTTCTGCTTTATAGGCGTGTCACTGTTGGAGTTATAACCAGTCCAACAGACCTGGTGTGAGCAAGTGTGATCAGTGTTTTGTGGAATTTGCGCCTTCTTCCTGAACCTCTGTTCAAGCCATTGTGCACCAGGTGGGGTACTGGCCTGGGTCGATTCTTTTCTATGCCCCAGTTAAGAGGACTTCACAATTCTTTCTCTCGTGTATATGTCGACTATGGTTGGTGCGAGCAACACCTATCCAAGCAAGGGAAAAAGACAAAGTTCTTGGTCAGCAAACACCTCGTGTGGGTTTACGAACCTGAGTTTGAGTCCGAATATATATATATATATATATAATTTAACCACAATTTCGGACCCAACTATGTGACTTTCGGGCCCAATTGGTTTATATCCCTCAAGCCTAATGCGGCCCGATTCGGGCTAAAAACCTTTAGTGATATTTATAATTTAAATAAAATGAAAGCGGGGGAATAGCTTAAGTTTTGCAGATATGGACATAGCAGCAAACATAAACATAACAGAGCTTTTCAGGTATGGGTTCCATCATCCTTATTCGTTTAACTCTTTAAATTAATGACAGAAACAGTAGAGATCCATGCCTATTAATTTCAAATTATGTAAATACATTATCACAGTGATCCAAGGTTCATAGCCGACTAAATTATACAAATATCAAACTGAAACACTTTCAGAAGTTAATCATACCATGGAAATGGCAGAGAAATAAAAAGACGAACACAGAGATCGTCTGGCTATCTGAAATCCGAACGAGATAACTGGAATGCCTTGGGTGCTTTTTTGAGTGTTTTACAAGACGTTGCGTCTGGTTTTGGAGAGAGAGTCCCCTTCTTCTGTGCTGGAAGCTCTCTATTTATAGGAGCAGAAGAGGTCTTAAGTGATGATGACTGGGTAAGGATATCTGCCTGTTGTCCGAAGTCAGCTTGCTGATTTGACGTTCTGAACTGGTCCGTAGAGAGGGAGATTGATCTTTTTGACGAGAACCGCCGGTTCCTTGAATTGGTTCCTTGGTCTGAAGCGTCTCCGTCCTTATCGATTTGATGTGCAAGTTGGCTTCTTACCTGGCTTGGTGGCTTCCTTCGGCGGCTGGTTTTTCTTATTGGAAGAGAGAAAAGTCAAATCGTCATTTAATGCTGATGTTCCTTCTCTAATCTCGCGTGGGTTTGGAACGGTTCTCGATTTTTTACTTTGTCAGTGGTCCAATCGTTTTGGGCCCTCTGTTTTTGGGCTTTGGATTTTGATCCTGCCTTGGCGTTTATTTTAAAGAAAAATATAACCCATAGACAATTACTGGGCTTGGGCCCTTGCCATGTTCCTTTTTGGGGATGTAACCAGTTTTGGTCTATTGACCAAAATTGGGTACAAACAGAAACCCAAGGGGTGATGGAGCAATTCTCCCCCCTCTTTTCTCATGTGCCATGAAATCATATTTCTCATGTCAGGACTTACCAAACATGGGAAATCAATCCCAAGCTCCTTTCAAGTGAACCAAACGACCCTAAGGCTCCATTTGGTTCACAAAAAGAATTTGAAGGGAAATCATTTCCCATGTATTTTCCCAAGATATGGGAAATGGAAGATTAATTTTTCATGTTTGGTAATATTGAGAAAGTAACCATAAAATAACACTTTATTTCCTTTCTCATATTTGATTTGCATAGGAATGAAAAATAAACTTTGTTTAGTTTTCGTTGACTTTATTTTTTATTCTCATAAATAACATTAAATTATGCAACAAATAATGGGGTTGGTGAAAAATTAAAAAAACTAGAGGGTAACGGTGAATTAATTAATCGGAGTCTCTTGAACAATAATAGTTAGGAGATAAAAAACCATGGCCACTCTCTCCTTCTATGAGTCTAAAACAGAACTCCATAGGGGGAAGGAAGAAGTTTCATTGCCCCTCATCCCCTTATCTCTCCTCGTCCTTTTTTCTTTTGGATTAGTGAATAAGTCCATTGGAGCATTTTGAGTAAGAAGCCCTTTGTGGTGATTTCATTTGAGCCATGCTCAGATTGAAGTTCTCCCTCATCCATTTTAGGCGTTCTAAAAAAAATTTATCTCCCAAAACCCACTTTCTAACACTGCTAAAGTTCTCTAAATTCGAGTCTACATTGTCTTTGACGAAGGTTGCTGCAATCAACCAATTGTTCTTTGTCAAGGTAGTATGTTTTCATTTATTTGTTCGCTCTTATACACAAGTAGATCGCTAGAAACCATATATTCCCCAAATCTGTTATAGATGTAGTGGTGGGTGTGGTCACAACGGCGATGTTGGTCGTAGGGTTCGTTTAGGCTCATGAGTTGCTTTAGGGTTTCGGTTATGTTGGGTATGTGAACTTTGTTTGGACTTATGGTTAATTGTGGTGATATGGGTTAGTAGTTTTAGTGTTGCTTTCATCGCTTTTGATTTTAATATGTAGGTTTGTTACCTTATGGGGATTCGTAGTTTCGATGCTTGTTGATGTCTTTGATTGTATTTTTGAACTTTATCTTTTATTAATAAAATAAAATAAAATAAAAATAAAAACTGGAGGGTACAATAGGCACACACAAAAATTGACTAATCAAAATAGTAAATGTAGGCTGACTCATCGACCCAAAACTCACATCAGTCCCTTCACACACGTTCTCTCCCTTCTCCCTTGTTTCTATCTACCACTTTCTTCTCGTTCTTTTCTTCCCAAAACTCCTTTTTTTTCTCTGAAGCAATGAGATGCTCAGATTTGAGGAACATAGAACTTTAAGAGCCGAGCAGCTCAACTATAGGTCCTGCGTGAGGGCGAGACTAGTCACAACCTGAATATGAAAAAATTATTATATCTATATTTCTTTTATTGGAGAAAGAGGTTTTATTTCTATGAGCGTCTGGCGTCAGTCAGCATTGGTTGGTAGCCCATCGATTTCACCTACAACCTCTCCGAGATCTTTACCGTTGAGTTGAGTGTAGACCACCAGCAACACAATTAGGACAGACCAGACCAACCAGACCCATTTCCCAAATCTTATTATATAAACAAGATAAGCAAGCACACTCCTAGTTTTGCTCTTCCCCTTCCAACTTTCCCATCTTGATTTTTCAGTTAAATAGCTTTTGATAAAACCAAGAACAAGATAATCCCATGGGTTCCAATGAGTCACTGGACCAGATCCTTTTCTGGGCAATAGCTTTTGTTGTCATTGTTTATCTCTGGAACTACATGAATCCCGCAGGTTTGACCTCTTAATTGCTGTTTTTTTTTTTTTTTGGTGTGTGTACTAGGAGTAGAAGCAAATAGTCTTAATCTGTTCGTTCCACCACAATTGTGGCTGAAAACCTAGCTAGCAACAAGGATCCACGTGACTCACTTAAAGCCCACACATTGATGCTCTCTCTGTTGCCCAGTGCACAACCTCCTGTGCTTTCTCGGCCGGATCAATCCACCAAGTGCTCCACACACAATTCATTCAAAGTAGGTAGCCCACTAAACACAAGTCATGTGGCCACTTAAAACACCACACATGCAGACGGATACAAATTGAGCCAAAAGCTCTCAACAAACACACTAGAATGTTTTTCCGAAAATAACATACACGCTAGAGTGTCTTAATGGGCACAACTGAGCACAAGAATATGCGTTGCACTTACAATGCTGAAGATCTTTCATATTTATTCTTTTTAGCGTTGCTCTTTTGACAGGTGAGACTGATCGCAGCAATGGTCAACGCCCTTCGATACCTGAATCTTCGGCGATCTTGAGACAACTCATTTTCAATAATGTTGATGTGCCGCCGAGATGGATCATTAACACCTACACTCCCAATCCGGTTAGCATGTTACCGTAGTTTGAGTTTGCATTGCTATTAATTCTTATATTATTACTGATAAAGACTTGATCCATTATTGTGCTTTTTTGTTTGCCCAAAACAGACATTTCCTATGAATTTCGATGAACTAAGGGGTAGTAAACTATTCTTGTTCTTTTCAAGTTTGGATATTTCTGAAGATCATATTTCACTTATCAAGAACGTTAACGAGCGGATACAAAGGGAGAGAAGGGATGTGTATAAGACTGTGTGGATCCCCATTGTGGAGAACCGGAATTGGGAGGGGCACAGGCTAGACGATTACTTGTTGGGCATTGCGAGAAGACTGTCATGCTACACAGCTAGACCCCGCCAAGGATGCATCAGAAACATCAAGGACAGGTACCGATTACACAACAGGAATAATTATTTGGTGCTGGTGGAGATGGACCAAAGGGGGAATGCGAACGAATACGATCCTGACACCACAATTGTGAGGGAAAGAATGGCTCGGTTTGGCTTCACAGACTGACGGAAAAAGTAGCAATTTTATTTCAAAACTTAAGGTAACTAATAAACAGAAGCTCTTTTGCTGCAGTTCACAATCATCACTGGAAGCATTTCGAGAGAGATTTATGACAGCACATGGACCTTCAAAAGAATTACTATTCGGAATAATGACAGACGGAAAGTAACTGTCCCTTTAGTTAAGTTGGTACTGCGTGTTTCCATCTTTCTAGTACTGGAATGTTTGGTAAATTTCATTTCCATTCCAATTAGTCAACTTGTTTCAGAACCTAAATCCGCAAATATTTATCCATTTGATTAAAAAGTAGTCATTTTGGTGTTTTATGCGGTTATTATTTTTTCTTTGTTAGTTGCATGTTAATGTATAATATCATACAAAAATTACGAAAAATGATAGGAAAAACCTTGGACATATAGTTCCCACTCGTCACTTTTGGTTTGGTTCTCTTCCTCCTGGGGCTGCCAGGGCATGTTTGTGCGACTCGTTGTTGGTACGGTGCCCTTGTAGCTTCGTGCTGTAACTATTATCTTATAATTTTTTTATAAAAAAACTCCTCCTTCAAACCAATGTGATTTTGACACTTTGCAAATTAATCTTCTTTTGGGTTAACTACATAACAACCCCCAAATTATTAGACATTTTTCAAGTTCATACACAATTTGTTGGACATTTATAGATGGGTTAAATACATTTTTTGTCATTGGGTTTTACACAAAAATTCAATTTGGTCACTGAGAAATTTTTTTAGCCAAATTGGTCACCGTGCTTCCCACAGTTTACAATTTATAGACATTCTGTTAACTTCCATTAAGTACAATTTCAATTTTTATTTTTCTAGGAAGCATGTTCAGTCTTCCTCCTCTAACTCAACGAATTAAGGTATATTGTGCTATTAAGTTGTTGATTTCATTTTAATTTGGTTTGGGTTTTTTATTTTTCTTATACCTCACAATTTCGATTTCAACCCAAGATTTCCCCCAAGTTGTTAAACCATAATAGCCATATCATTATAAATAAATAAATAAATAAAGTGGGATTACATTTTCCACATCAACATTTAACAGACATAGTAACAGTTTGACCGACGGTGAGGTCAATTTGTAGGATTTTCAGGAGTTTCCATACAAAACTGTAAATGTCCAATAAATCGTGTATGAATTTGAAAACCTAATAGTTTGAGGGGTTTTATGTAGTTGACTCTATTCTTTTTTGTTTTGACTTCGTTAGTTTTCCTGGAATTTGACAAGTGCTATAAGTAGCTCTCTTTTTTATGTCTGAATGCCTTATTCAGGTGAGAAAAGGAAAACCAAGTAAAAAAATTACAGGAGGAAGGAAGGAATGAGAGGAGAAAAAATAATTTAGGGAGGAGAGAGGGGAGCAGCGAGCTGGGCTGGAGGAATGGTGGCGGTGGTGGTGCTATGGGGACGATGGTGAATGATGTGTTTTTCATTTTTTTTTTCTTCAAATTTTCTGTATTTTTATGACTATTTTTTCTTCTATTATTTTGAGGATTGTATCTATGGTGAGATGTGGGATGGGAGAGTGGGTTGGTTGTGGAGGATTGTATTTTGAGTTCAAATTTCTTTTATTTTTATGTTATTTTTTTTCTGTTTTATTTTAATCTTTAAATTATTTGTAATTATTAGAATTAATTGTGTTTCTTATCTATGTGAGATTTGCTTGTAGGTTCGAGGACACTGCTGTAAATAAGCCTATTAAGAAAAAAACTCCTCATCAGCCAAACAATGCCTCAAAGTAATGCTCAAAAATGATAAACGGATAACTATTGGGGGAAAGTCCAACAAATAGACTAACCAACTAACATGAATTAATCTTTAAAAGTGACTTGTGCATGATATTTACATTTTATGTAAAAATATTGCCACTGGGCAGTCTTAACCACTAGGCTTATATATAATTAATCAAAAGTCGCCCTTCAAGTCTTTAATTAATAAAAAACTGGGCAATAAAGACAAAACAAAAAGTCTTTAACTAACAAGGTCTCTCAAGTTTAATAATCAGTTTTCACCTGTTGATCCTGCCTAATTTTCTAAAAATTAAAAGGCTTTTGATGTGAGAATGCGAAGAAATATCCCACATTTGAAAACTAATAAATTTTGAAAAGGTTTATAAAAAGTTGCGCTACTTTCCTTATTGCCAATTGATTTTAGGGTGGAACCTCAACTTCCTTCATGGTATCATAGTATGTTTATCCACGTGTGAAAGCCCAATTGCTACACGTGCTTCACGTAACCCAATACTTGTTGTTCATGTGTTAGTCTTAAAACTCCCCACATGTATGGAGGTGTGTAAGAATAAAAAAAAAATACAAATATCCAGACATTAAAAGACTACGCCACCTCAACTTCCTTCATTTGACAGATAATAGTCACAATAATATATAGGACTCCTAATATATATCTTCGTGTTTAGATTATGGAATACATAATATAATTAAATAAAAATAAAAACCTACGCCAGTTTGTGTTTGCCATAAATTATTATTATAATGTTCTCCAGTTAAGCATTCCCACTAACCATCCCATGCTAAGATATATTTTCATCCAGCATCCAGACCAAAAGTGAGAATTTGTGCCTGGTACGATGACTCCGACTTGCTTCTAGAGGACAGAAAATATAAAAAGAATATTAAATGTGGGCATCAAATCACCAAAGCCAAAGTTGAAATTAGGATGCAACAAAATGAAACAATGAAATAGCATTTATGAGGTAGATTTGGGTTAGGCGAATTGACCAGGAAAGTGAACATGCCCCCTTGCACTTAAGTTCGAATTTCTTTCCTCATAAATTATATTAATTTAGAGTAATTTAGACTATCGTTTGTATTCATAAAGTGATTTTGGTGGAAATGTCACTTAAACTTATACTTCAGTTTCAATTTGTCACCTTAAAGAAAAATTTAAAAGAAATATCACCTTAATTTTTCAAAATTTGTTATTTGTCATATGACTTTGACACTATCCAATTTTCCATCCATTTTTAAGGGTATTTTCAAAAATGGAAAAATCATTATATAAAAAATTGTATATCTTTTAAACAATTGAAATTGGAAGAAAAAAAATATATTACCTTCCCCATCCCTTATGCGCCACCAACGGCTCCAACCAACCCTACTCATCTTGAAATCCATTCACCCTTCCCTCTTCACAACCCCTTCCTCCTTTCTCCTCTCTCTACCAAGGAACACCTACCCTCCACACACAAATTCCCTCACCCCACTCAAACCAAGTCCAACTTTTCCTTCTTAGTTTTTTCTTTTTGGTATTTTTCCTTTTGCATATTGAAAATTTGTGGAAGGACAACTACCAAACCAACAATTCGGTAGCCTACGTAATAGATGGTGACCAAGCAAACTTTAGATTCTTCAATAGAAACACAATGGCGTAAGTTAATGAAACTATGAAGACAAGAAAGAGGTTGGATTTTGGGTGGGAAGCTTAAGTAATTTTAAATCAGGTATCTACAAATTTCAGACAAGCTCAATGAACAGCATAAAAAAATAATAATACATGCTCAGAGAGAGAGACAGAGATAGAGATAGAGAAGAGGAGAAAGGGGGGTCTTATGCGATGTGTTTTGGGCGCATGTGGAGTTTGGGTGAGGGAGAAAGGGAGAGAGAGGTATCTTTTTTCTCTATTTGTTTTCCTTGAAAATTGAAAGACTAAAATATCCTTAAAAATGAATGAAAAATTGGACATATGACAAATTATGAATTTTGAAAAATTAAGATGACATTTCTCTTAAATTTTTCTTTAAGGTGTCAAATTGAAACTGAGGAATAAGTTCAGATGACATTTCTACAAAAATCCTTTCATAAAATATCATTTGTGAGTAGTGCAGTTTTGCATGTATTTGATTGATTACTGTTGAAGTGAGTCTCCTAATTAATCAAGGAGATTTATTTCCTTGATTAATTAGGGGATTTACTTTCCTATTTTATAGATTTATTTCCTTGATTAATTAAGGGATTTACTTTCCTATTTTATATAGTTGTCAAATCATTGTATAATTAGGAGATACTTTCCTAATCCTTTACTGGATCTAATTCCTTGTAAAGCACTCATGTAAACTCTTATATATACCTCCTTATGGAGAAGAATAAAAATAAGAACCTAACATATTCAAAACCTAAAATAAGAACCTCCTTATATATACCTCCTTATGGTATCAGAGCAATCGATCATCGGTTGTCTCTAAATTCTCATATCAAAATTTCTCCTCATCTCCTCTTCAAGGGGGGGAGGGGAATGAAAAATGATCTGTTTCTCTTTCTCATGGAGATTTTGCCTCTTTCTTGACTCCGACAAACCCTTCTCTTCAGGGGGAGAAGAGGATTGAAGAGAAATTTCTATGTTCTTAAGCCGTGCTCACAGGGTTTCTGTGTTCTTTAAACTCCTCATATCAAATTTCTCATATTTCTCCCAAATCCAAATCCCCTCAAATCTAAAGTCCTCAAATGCCTTATCTCAAATTTCTCATATTCAAATCCAAAACCCTAAATCAAATTCCTCATATCTCTCAAATCCAATTCCTACATCAAATTCCTCAAATCTTATACACATACCTCTCAAATCCAATTCCTACATCAAATTCCTCAAATCTTATACACATACCTCTCAAATCCAATTCCTACATCAAATTCCTCAAATCTTATACACATACCTCTCAAATCCAATTCCTACATCAAATTCCTCAAATCTTATACACATACCTCTCAAATCCAATTCCTACATCAAATTCCTCAAATCTTATACACATACCTCTCAAATCCAATTCCTACATCAAATTCCTCAAATCTTATACACATACCTCTCAAATCCAATTCCTACATCAAATTCCTCAAATCTTATACACATACCTCTCAAATCCAATTCCTACATCAAATTCCTCAAATCTTATACACATACCTCTCAAATCCAATTCCTACATCAAATTCCTCAAATCTTATACACATACCTCTCAAATCCAATTCCTACATCAAATTCCTCAAATCTTATACACATACCTCTCAAATCCAATTCCTACATCAAATTCCTCAAATCTTATACACATACCTCTCAAATCCAATTCCTACATCAAATTCCTCAAATCTTATACACATACCTCTCAAATCCAATTCCTACATCAAATTCATACATCAAATTCCTCAAATCAAATTCCTCAAATCAAAATCCCTCACATTCTCATATCACCTTTTACTTCTTTTATTGCAGACTCAAAACGACCGGTCGCCCGAAGCAAGCGAC